TCTCTCTCCCTTCCTCTCTGTAAAAAATCAATAAAATATATTTAAAAAAAAAAAAAAGATTTTGGAGGTTACTTGCATTCAGGAACCTTCAGAGCATCCCCTCAACAAACACTAAAAATCTACTGTGTGTCAAATATTATACTAAGTGTTGGATGAGAAAATTTCCATGGGTTGCCAATAAGATTAGAGGACTAAGGATACAAAAGTCAGTATTTATATGATAACCAGTATCAGTGTTCCTCTGTCAAACTTTATATGAGTTATCTCATTTTGTCAAATTTCAAAGTTAATCTACACTCTTCAAAGTGAATCCCACTATACCTATTAAGCAACTCTCCCTCTATGGATGAGGCTGATCAGGCTGCCAGAAGCAGCCTCTGCCTGAGAATGCTCATTACACAGCGTTTTCCGTGAGTCTCCAGGACTGCCAATACTCACAAAGACCTGGCCACCTGCTTGAGGTTATCAGCACTCTGTGGGCTGAGAACAGCACATGTCTGAAAGAGTTCTAGGGATTCTTGGATATTTCCTTCCAGGCGAAATATCAGTGCTGCCAAGAAACAGAAAACAAAGAAAGTAAAGTCATGTTCTGGGAAGAATAGAGCCTGATATAGAAAAATTGGAGAAACGGGAGATGGAAAACCATATCAAAGAAATTCTTTGGATTATTATATCTTCAACACAATCAGCTGGGTTGAAACAAATAGCAAAGTTGCTGACATGCTAAAACCTTTTTCTTTTTCTTTTCTTTTTTTTGAGACCTGAATGTTTTGTTGTAAGAAATACCTCTACTTTGACTCAGTTAACGAAGGAGCTTTCAGTGTGAGGAGTTCTTCACTTTCCTTTTATTAAGGGAATAAATATGCTCAAGCTTAAAAGAGGAAAAAAATAGTAGGGAGAAGACATTTAAATATTTGGCAATAAGATTATTTTTCAGAGACTGAAGTGGGAGGAGGAATATATCCCCTTCAAGTCTGTTACTCAACAATATCGCCAAATCTTTCGGTTCAGTGATGGCTAAAAGTTGCGCATTGGCTTATCTTTCCTAGTGATAGCATTTATAAACTAACTTCACAGGCATTGTTAGACTTGGCAAACAATAGTTTTTCATAGTATTCTAGTGGCCCATTGCTTGTTTCCCTCTTCTCAGAAGCAAGGCAGCCAGTAGAGATCTCCTCTGAGGTCCTTTTAGGCTCTTAATGGCCTTCATTCACCTTTTGAATCTCAATTTTCCTTCTCTCCTTTTCTTTGTTGAATGATGCTATATTATCCTATATAAAAAAAAGCCTAATATGCTAAGTGTCCGGTTGTCCAGTCGGCCTTTCAACCAAAGCATAATATGCTAATGATATGGTAAGGCCATTCAACTGCTCATTATGCTAGGCGACCAAATGACTGAATAACTGAACGACCAGTCCACCAGTCACTATGATGTGCACTGACCACCAGGGGGCAGTCGACCGATCAACCAGTCACTATGACGTGCACTAATCACCAGGGGCAGATGCTCCAAGTGGTAGTTGAGCTTGCTGCTGGGGTCCAGCTGACCCTCTCGCAATCTGGGACCCCTTGGGGGATGTCGGAGAGCTGGTTTCAGTCCGATCCCGCAGGCCAGGCCGAGGGACCCTAGTGGGATATGAATTAGTGCACCGGGCCTCTAGTCCTATCTAATAATAGACAAACATGGTAATTGACCATACCTTCGCTATGCCTCCCATTGGCTAATCAGCGCGATATGCAAATTAACCGCCAACAAAGATGGCGGCTAATTTGCATACTTCGGGCAGGGCAGGACAGTGCAGCAGCCAGCGTGAGAGCCGACATCCAGGCCCCCGTGTGTGACCCCAGAAGCCACCGGCCTGCCGCCAGTGATCGG